GACGTTGATTGGACCGCAACGTTTGCGACGCTACGATGCGACTAATGTAGAACCAGCTTAATACTGGAGTCCCATGAAGCTGATTTTACATTAGTCGCATCGCAGCGTCGCAAGCGTTGTGGTCCAATCAACATCAAGCTGGCTCGACTCTGATTGGATCATAACGCTTGCGACACGCTTGCGACATTGGGTGCGTTCAGCAGAACGTTTGTTTTGCAACTGTTGTAAGTTTCCTTCGCGCTAATTGGATCATACTTTTAGATCTAGAAGAATGGTCCTATCTCAGCAGACAATCATAAAACGGTTGCAAAACTGTTGAGTCTGCTGAACGCAGCCATTGGTGGATACAACCGCTCACTGAGCGCTTGCATTTTATTGGTATATTCCGTTAGAACTAAAAATATAGACCAAACAGATACAAGAGCTCACTGAGCGGTCGTGGTACTGAATTCACCCTATCAAACGGGTTGGAGTAAGTAGGAGCTATGGTAGAAGCATATTGGAACATGTTGGAGCATGCGACGCGACAAACCTCATGATTTAACCATCTACATCTATGGTCTGTGCCCGACGTGCAACATGATCAATATGGCAGTTTCATATTTCGTACCTTGCAGGCGATGTAGGGGCTCGAGGTGATTGTATACGTAGAAAAACAATATGATTCTCCAGTGAATCATCACGGCGAGTAAGCGTCTTGCTAATAGTCAAATTGTACGAATGGTAGGAGTGGGTAAGATTGACTAGGATTCGTCGCTATAACCAAAGATCTTGCAAGTTCTTACGATATAAATACTTCAAAAAAAACGTACGTAACATTGTTTTTAAGCTATTTTCAAGATTTGTTTACAATTTTTCATACTTAGAAAACAGATACAAATTTTTTATTGATATAACTTAAAAATATGTAAAGGGCTTTGAGAATAAATCGACTAAAGGGGGAAAAGCCAATTAAGAGCCTAAACGGTTGTTGGTGCGCGAAGTTATTTATTTAATCATCAAAATTAATCCGCATACGTTTCAACTAACGTTTTCTTCTCAGTGAGAAAACATTAATTAAATAAATTATACACTATAAATTACGGTATACATGATATTAGAATACAACAAGTAAGAGTTTAATGCCTACTACAGTCGCGAAGCTGGATCTTAGATGCTTTTAAATAATTTCTGTGTGAATTTATATACTAAATATGTAGTTATTTGAACTGCGCGTCGAAATGATTTTTCGGACTTATAAACGCAATTAAATTACTATAGTAATATTACGAATTAAATTGATAAACAATTTAATAATTTGATGGTCAATCTGGCATCCTTCATATAAAAATTATTTTAAAGCATCTAAGATCCAGCTTTGATCATAAAAAATGTACCTGTAACTAATTACAAAGTAACTTTTCCATCCTTGTTTATTATCTAATGTTATTTGTATCTGTTATTTTTGCAGTTTAAAATGGTAAAGTTATATGCACTGACCGTTCTATATAAAAGTCCTCCGTCGACAACAACACTGAAAGCTGCTTATGATGTAGAGTCGTTCTCGTTTTTTCAAAAGAATAGTATTAAAGAGTTCATGTGTTTTGTCAGTAAAACCATTGTGGAAAGAACGCAGACTTGTGCCAGGCAGAGCGTCAAAGAAGGAGGTAATCATGATAGGATTATAGTTATAATTCTAAATAAACTTTCTATATTACTGCAAATAATCATGTTTGATCCTCCATGTATTTGATCCTAGAATACATGTGTCATGTCTATGTACGAGCCGACAATCTCGCTGCAGTTCTCATCTCAGATCATGAATATCCTAGGAGAGTGGCACATACTCTAATCACAAAAGTGATGGAAGAGTTTATGGCGAAACATCCACCATCGACATGGCCCGTGCTCAAAGAGGTCACCACCGACTTTCCACAGATCAATATGTATCTAGCCAAGTATCAGAATCCAGTTGACGCGGATGCGCTCACGAAAATGCAGAACGATCTAGATGAAACTAAAATTATATTGGTAAGAATCAATAATTACATTGTTCCTCTTTTATTTGCTAAGAAATTTCTAAGCGATTTATTTGATTATTTGAAATATCCGTTCGTACATATATACAGGACGATCCAGACCAACCGCAGGAGCCGGCATGTACATATTTCTCATGAAAAAGTAAGTCAAAAATGTCAATAGCAAAATGTTGTAATATCAATAGTTTTTAAATGGTGAGCCTTTGAAAATGTCCAACCACAGTACATGAAATTCGCGTCGTCAGGAGCGGTGCAACTAAGCAACCAGCCACGCGAACGCTTTGACGGATATCGCACGGTATCGAACAAATATTGCGAAGGCTTGTGAAATCTCTATATTAATATCTACTGTGGTATTCTTAAATTGAGTCCGATTTAATTGATGAGAAGTAGTCAATTGCAAATTCGATACAACGTCATTTATATCAATAAAAAGGATTTTTGAAATGTTTTAAGTAATAAACAAATTAATTTATAAATAAAATCAATTATGAATCAAATTATTCAAACAAATATCCAAACATATTTCAAAAATCTTTTTTACTGATATAAATGTCGTATTGAATTTGCAAAATTGATATTACATCTCGTCAATTAAATCGGACTTAATTTAAAAACACTACAGTAGATGTTAATATAGAGATTTCACAAGCCTTCGCAATATTTGTTCGATACCGCGCCGTTTAGTGGTGTCCGTCAAAACATTCGTGCGGCCGGCCATTTGGTTGCAACGATCCTGACGTCGCGAATTTCATGCCCTATGTTTGGATATTTTCAAAGGCTTCCGTTTAAAAACTATTGATATTATTAATTAACATTTTGCTATTGACATTTTCGACTCACTTTTTCATGAGGAATATATACGTGCCAGCTCCTGCGGCTGGTCTGGATCACCCTGTATGTATGCATATATAGGATGTTTCATTTTAAATAATGCATTAAGATTTCTCGAAAACTATGGTAGATACGGAAAAATGTTTGAAATAAAAGTTGTATGGTTCGGAGGGGGGCATAAGATGATTTGAAGAGAATTTGTTTTATAAAAAAGATATGTAATTGCATTCGTAATTGCTTTTTACCAGCACAATACCTTAGAAGCTGTGCTGCAAAGGGGAGAGAAGCTGGATGATCTAG